GTAATGGGGCCAGAGTGCTCAAACGACCACAAGGGAAGTGAGCTTTGCATTATCGCTAATAGACACCCATTAGCAACTCCGCAGAGTGCTCAACAACACCGAAGTGAAGGAGCGTAATAGTACACGCATCCAGACATGCGCAGAGCGTAATGGGGCCAGAGTGCTCAAACGACCACAAGGGAAGTGAGCTTTGCATTATCGCTAAGTAGACACCCATTAACAACTCCGCAGAGTGCTCAACAACACCGAAGTGAAGGAGCGTAATAATACAATCTGCAGACATGCATGTTTCGGCGTTCAACGCCTCGTCAGTGCAGCTTGGTACACGTCTAGATACGTGAGACACTCGTATTTATACCCCATGAACTTGCTCTCACCAAGGCATGTGGTACAACACGGCGCTCAACGCATCCACACATGCGCAGAGCGTAATGGGGCCAGAGTGCTCAAACGACCACAAGGGAAGTGAGCTTTGCATTATCGCTATATATATATATATATATATATATATATATATATATATATATATATATATATATATATATATATATATATATATATATATATATATATATATATATATATATATATATATATATATATATATATATATATATATATAGTATATATATATATTATATATATATATATATATATATATATATATATATATATATATATATATATATATATATATATATATATATATATATATATATATATATAGTTTCTTTGTGTACTTATAATGTAGAATAATGAAAAAAAATTCTCGAAATTTTGTAAACCGGGGAGGGGGTGGGGGGGAGGGGGTTTCCAAACAATTAAAAATGGCTTGCGCACGAAATTTAAAGCTTTAATCGTATTTTGAGTTAATGGATGGAAAATTTGTTGGGTTTTTAATTACTGTACAAAATTGCAGACAATTTGCTCAGTAGTTTAAGCCCTTTAACTAGAGCAATTTCAAATCTGTTTAGTTTTTTTATACACCCTGTCTATAGTTTGTGGGGATTTTGATGTAAACTTAGTGAACTATGACGTTTTCCCTTACACCATATTTCTTATAGGTTAATTCCCCCCTTTAGTATTTGCATAACATGTAAATGTATTTGTGGATTTAGAACTCATGCTTGTATATAGCTTCCCTATAAACTCAGCCTGCTTAGTCTGACTATCTTTTAGTTTCTATCACTCTTCTGACGGAGGTCTTCTGCTGGATACTCGGTATCCTCTCCTAATACTTTTAAGGCTTACAATATCTCGGCCTACGCGCGCTGAAACTAAAGCTTAATTAAAGATTCTTTATCAATAATCGATGAAGCGTGTCCCACAGCTGACACTCATAACTACTCTACTAATATACAGTTCTTTGTGTAAATGAGTATAATTTATTCAAATTGTGTTGATATTGCTTCAAGCATGACACAAATATTTCCTCGCATAGAAACCAGAAGTCCTTTGGTTTAATTTAATTGAACAGTATGACATTTAGTCATACAGAAGTGTTCGAACTATGGGTGAATACAGTCGGTAACAATAAATGTAACATTCACTAAAAAATGGCTAGTCCGCGGCAATCGCCGAATTTACATCCGATTAAATTCACAAGAAACCCAGAGCTGAAGAATAGCCCTGATGATATCTCACAGCTGTTTCAGAACGCCGAAGACGACAGCTCAGAAACGGGAAATAAACGATCGTCAGTAACGTGTTCTTCTTGGTTTGGCGAACCTGATCTTATGGTATACAAACTGTTTTATCTATTCTTTTACGCAGCAACGGCGTTATTCGCCTATCTACCTCTGTACTACAAGAAATCACTCTTGTTAGACCATCATCATGTCGGTATATTGATGGGAATTAGGCCATTTTGTGGCTTTCTTGGGGCTCCTATACTTGGCAGCTTCGCCGATAAATTTAACAAGTACAAGTCTACATTATACACCGGTCTTTTAACGTACATCATTGTTTATCTATCTATAACTTTCGTAAACGGAGTGCCTAAAGATTGTAATGTTCAGGCGAGAATAAACCACACTAATACGTCTCATAAACTTATTGGGGAAACAAAGTTTTTGAATGAGGAAAAACAAAGCCAGACTTTGAAAGTGTACAATACAGAAAAATTTGTCCAGCACTTGGCGAATACAATAGCACAGCGAAATGATCCTCTGCTGAATGATGAACAGTCTAGACCCTCATTTCCAGAATCATCAAATGTAGACAAAAGCGGTGGGAATTGGAAACTTTTAGATAAGCCGGTGTACTTCAGTGAAGATGTGAAACAGCTGCCTCACGGGAGAGTTGTTTTTAAGAAGTTCAACTCTAATGACCAGGTTAGGGTTGACACCATGAACGTGGAAGCGAACAGTGGGGATATGAGATATGGGATTCCAGACACTGGTGACAATATGACTCAGGTAAACTTTGGTTATATTATTCAAATTTTGGTTATGTTAATTGATTTAAACTCTACTTCTACTGCGAAATTTACCGTGTAAATGCAATAAATAATGCTATTTTACTATTCTTTTATATTACAGTATACTTGCGATTCAAAATTACGGCGCGCCAGTAACTGACTAATTAAACGTTCTTTAGAGCTTAATTATTGATATTGCCTATTGGTTCCCGAGTGAAAACACCCTTTAATTTTTGAAATTGTAGAACTTATTGCGGTTAATGAAACGATTGGTATATATAATCAGGTCACAATTATAACAAAATAATTTTAATTTAATTTATTGTACGATCATCCCGACTAAATTTTTTTTAATTGCTTCTGACGTTTCGGCTACCTATACGGCAGCCATTATCAAAGACGTATTACAGTATAGGTATAGCCGGAACGTCAGAAACAATTAAAAAAAAACAATATGGATTATCGTACAATAAATTAAATTAATGGAAGAACCCGGATTCAAGCCCTTCAGTAAAATAATTTTACTTGCTTTTCATTTCATCCTTAATTTTAATCAGGGTATGATCACTGGCTTCTATAGAATGTATACAGCTAATTCAAAAAAGGTTGTCCTTCAAAAATCTCAAACCTTAAACCCTAAGCGCGAAAGGTGTGATACCTGTAGGTAACCTCTTACTTAAGACCTAAAACGTGCGGATTTTGTATTGCAACTATGACAGGACATGCAGATAATAAGCACTATAATGTATAACTATAGCAGTGAAAATGCACTATAGCAGTGTACTAGCATTATTAATCAGGGTTTATTTTAACGTGCAGTTCTACACAAAATGTGCAGTTCTAAACCCATTTGTGCAGTTCTTAAAACACAAATGTGCAGTCACCAAACTAACAAAAATAGCCTTAAAACAGTCTTCGCATTTACTCGTCCTTGTGGATGCTCCAGAAAATTCCAGAATTGCTGTCATCATGTTAATTGAGCATAAAAAATATAAACGTTTTCTGGGGGGGGACTCCAGACCCTCCTAGTTTCCTCACAAATCACTTACGTGCTGGCGTAATGGAAAAGAAGGTAAAATTGGGGCGAGCGAAGCTACCCAAAAGAGATTAGAGTGGGAGAACTTAATATTCATTGCTGCCTCAAATCCAAATTTAAGGTTGTTATATATTGAATATCCATGATTCCCAGTTACATGTTTTGAAGCAGTTTTTGTGAGTGGTTGGGTAAACAAGTCTTTGCCAGAATTAAGAGCCTCTAGATGCAAATTGTTTTGGGGGACACTCCCAAGCTCCCGCACCCAAAATCGAGTTTGTCTGGCCTTTCTCCAACTCTCCCACCCAACCACACCATTATTCTGTCACCTATATGCAGGTTACCCATTGCCTTCGTAACATCCCTATATGTGCAGTTCTACATTTTTCTTAAAATAAACCCTGCATTACTTGCACAATCAAAAGCCTTAAAAAGAAGTTACCCATCACTCTTAGCGCTTAGAGTTTAAGGTTTGAGATTTTCGAAGGACAACCTTGTTTGAATTAGCTGTACATGACAGCTAACAATGACAAACTGAAACATGAGTATAATGCCATGTGTTTTTTCGACGCATCAGTACCACATGATTTAACAATTTGTTTCTGTTACAAAAACAGTGATTACCACTATATATAGAGAGTCTGCATGCACTTATCTGATGCAGCATGAGACGTCCCACCGAGCCTAACCTTAATCGTAACTTTTACGTGAATCTTTGGTGTGACTCACGCGCTATATAAATATCAATTGAGTGCAGAATTTAGTGTTTTCCGGTTACACTTTACAGTGTATGCATGCAAAGAATTGTGAATTGATCCAAAGGCACTTGGTGGAATTTATCATCATTTTTTTCATTTTCAAAAAAGGTTTACATAGCCTATAGATACTCTTCATCACAAGATGCTTTAAAAACTTGAAAAATGAAAACGTATTATATAAATTAATATATTACACGTAAGTTAAGGAATAAAATTGCTTTATTCTATAAATCATATGAACCAATGTTGGCCTCTTATAAGCCTTAACAATCCTTGATGGAGTGTGCAGTTGACGTATTTTCCAACTCCAAATTAAAGCCAACGCTTGGAGCAGCTAGTTTTGCTCATTCCTGCATGTATACACTCGATGGTATTTACCGAAGGCATGCACATTGAGGGTGTATAGCGAACCCGCTACCAACCACAAAAGGCAATCAACTAACTCGCCTTCTCTGGGGAAAATGTTTGACCACTATACATTGAGAATTCTACGCAATGCATATATCACGAAACTAAATAGTACCTTGCCGTAGTTGCTTTCTGTCTCGTGTTGGTTAAAAATAATTAATTTACATTATAGAATTCAAAAGGTATTTTGGAAAACGAATAAACCAAGACTAATAATTAATATGTACTTCAAATACACAACTTCATCATGTATTCAACTTTTAGGAAATTGGTGATTATGACCAATATTGGCTGTATGCACCTGAAACAGCTGGCGAAGATACATGGCCAATTGATGTTTATCGGAATGAGCCGCACAAAAACAGCCCAAAAGAAGACAAGAAAATTCGTAATCATATCTTCTTAATCATATTACTGTTAATGTTAACGGCTGAATTGATCGGTGCTCCAATCCTCAGCCTTGCAGATACGGCTACGCTTCAAACTCTAAAGAAAGAGCCATATAGATACGGTCGTCAACTAGTCTGGGCCGCGGTTGGGTTTGGAATCATGTCTATTATTACTGGAAGTGTTTTGCACTATACCGTTTCCAAAAAAGATGAAATCAATAATTGCCCAGAAAAAATGGGAGAAAGATACAAACCGGTGTTTTACAGTTGTTGTGCGTTGCTACTCATTGCATTTTTTACAACATTCAAATTCAAATTCAAGACCTACGAAGGAAAAGAAAATGGTCGCTGTTCCTTCTTTGATTGTATAAAATATTTTAATAATGTTGAGTATCTTTTGTTTGCTTTTTTGGCATTTTTTACAGGTCTCAGTGCAGGGTTGACGGACAGTTTTTTATTCGTGCACTTGATTCGCCTTGGTGCTACGCCATTGGTATTGGTTGTCACGACAACGGTTCAGAGTGTCTCCAAGGTGATCTTCTTTTACCTTTCACCAATGCTGATACTCAAGTATGGCTACTTCCCGATTATTTATGCAGGAATGTTGACCAGCGTGGTCACATTCTTGTATTATTCGTTCTTGATTTCACCGTGGATGGTCGTACCCATTGAACTTCTCTCCGGACTTTCGTATTCATGCGTGTGGGCGACGCTCGTCAGTTATGTCGGTGCTCCTCCAAAAATCGGCGCTACTTTGCAAGGAATTGTACACTCCCTGCATATTGGTCTTGGACGAGGAATAGGCGGATTATTTGGAGGAATGATATTACTCCGCTATGGATTTGATATTCTGTTTCAATCTTTCAGTCTTACCATCGTGATAGTGGTCGCAGTTGTTTCCTTGGTGCGTTATCGTAGGAAAGACGAAGTTGAACCAATTTGGTCCAAACTCTGGGATTACTCCCCAGTCGCGCCTTATGACACACTCGCGGACGAAGAATAGTCAATTGCCCTGAATTTTCTATATAGGTAATTTATAGAGAAAACTATAACATACAAAATTTGAAATTTTGTTTTAATGAAATATACATTATTTACTGAAATACAATTGGACTATTTTCATAGTTCTTTGCTGTGGTCAATAAAATACTGAAATTGGATCGGAAGATATTATGTACCACACTTCGTTGCATAATTGTTTCTCGACTATTTTTTATCTTTGACTGAAGTCTAACAATTTAACTCTGGTTTATCGTTCAAAACACATATTCTTGACAGCTAGCTTTAATAGTTACATAAAAACATTGTAAAATTTACTTTCTACATTCGACTTAATTACACCAGCAAAAACTTAATCAGAGAGTAATTTAACCACAGCAGTTACGCTTTTCCCGCTTTGGTTTATTTTTCTTCGTTTTGAATATTTTGAAAGACTTTTAGACAATCTTTTGTTTGAAACTTCGCTCTCGTAGCAGCTTCGTAGGGCAATACGGGAAATCCTGCCTCGACAGCGGCCAATTAAATTGCGCGATTTAAGACTCCTAATATATATTTTATTGGAAATCAATACAACACAAACCGAACAACCCCCTAAGACCGATCGTCACAAGTATTGGCACGGCATTTTGCAAATTTTTCACAGCAATTCTATCACCTCTGCAAAATCAAAATGTTTACACTATCAATATCGATCTCCGCAGAATTCGCGTCTAAAATCTCCAGCGTGACCATGCATGGAAGCAGAGGAAAACGTGGCCATTAATATTCAAATTTCCCACCAAAATATTCAAATATGGCGGCTAGCGATGTCTCTTCGAAGTTATCTAATCTAAACTTAGGCGAGGATAACAATGAAATGGAGAGACCATTTTTGGAACCGAGCTTTGGCCGCTAGGAAGTTTAATTTCGAGCCTACCTGGCTTGACGCGACATGGAAGGCCGAACAGAAACCAAATTTCGGAATGCGAAATTTGCACTAAGCCGCGGTTACCGCGGTATTGCAGAATATTACACAATATACTAGCTCCACCAGTACTGCATATTTTGTATACATATATGCTTTACAGTGTATACTCATCTACTAGGCCTATACATGCACAATATACATGTGACAAACATGTCAGTCAAAACTGCATGTATATTCTCGCCGCAATCTCACTTTTATCAACTTGCTATAGTAGTATAGCTAGTTTATATAGGCCTATATTGTGTATATAGTGTATAATCTATAGACTATAGTATACATATACAAAATATACACAATATACATGTCTATATTTAGACATAGTCAAAACTGTATATACTGTATATTCTCGCTTAATTTTATCAACTTAATTGATTGTAAATACTGTATTAATGCATGCAGATATATGAAACGTTGTTTTGTAATCAAATATTCTATTACACATTTTAGAACTCAAACCGGTCTTATAGTTATATTTATAAGTACAAGTCATAAAGGCATGTTTCGTCGTTCTTAAAAGAATATATCCCGCTTTATATACAATCAATGACGAATATAGTCATATACATAAGGCATATATGTTTCCTCCTTCCTAAAAAAATCCCGCGCTTTATACATTCAGTGACTGACACATAGTCATATGATACATAGGCCTAAGTCATAAAGGCATGCATGTTTCCTCGTTCTTAAAAAAATCCCGCTTTATACATAAGACATGTACTCACTGATATTCACTCAAACACACACATATATATATATATATATATATATATATAGGCCTACAATTTTGACAATACGTTGTCTATTGTGAATATATTATATAGGCTGCAGAATATACACAATATATCCTACATGTCTATAGTGTATACATATACGCAATATACAATCTATTCTGTATATATACACGCTATTTACACAATAGACACAAAGTGTAGGCTATATTCTGCAATATCTGGGCATGCTCGAAATATTGGGGGTTATTTTATATTTTTTATAATAAATACACCTTACGAAATCTTTCGCAGGTATCAGTTACATTAATAATATACCTGAATTCAGTGTCAACACGAATTTTGTGCTTATGCGGGGGTTGACAAAACGTGGACCCCCACTTTCTGGACCCCTAATCTGGACCCCAATCTGGACCCCAATCTGAACCCAATTCTGGATCCCATTCTGGATCCGAATCTGGACCCCATTCTTGACCTTTTAAAAAACAACAGACCAGATTGTAGGACACAACTATTTGGATTTCAATATCACGATGATCGATTAAATTCATTTAGCTTTTTTCGACTTTCTGAATCCTCAATCCTGTTCAATGTCCGAATCATTTCAGTCAGAGGCAATCGTTTCTTGGCTTCCAATTTATTGCGAATAAGCCATGTCTTGTGCCCGGTCACTGCTGAAGCCATCTCAACTAATGTGGGTTGGGGACGGACTGCTTACAGCTGCATATATGTAATGTTTTCTTAATTTGCATGTTTACTTTTGGTTTTGGTTTGGCAAGATTGAAAATAGATATGCTATATAAGGTCAAAAAAAAATTTTCGGACAAATTCCTGTTAAAACATGCATGAAACCCTTATTTTTTACCAATATCTGTAAAATTTAGGTCTATAAATTCTATTCAATTCCCTCTGGAAGCCCGATGGAATCTACTTAATAACTCTACATTCTATCATTTAAAATCTTTCATTGCCCTGCCAATCCAGATGATTTGCCCTGCCAATCCAGATGATTTGTACTTTGGGGGTGTCACCCCCCCCCCGTACACACACACCCTCAAGTTTCGCCCTGTACCGAGGGTTGGCAATGTCTGCAGTTTCCTTATATACAGTACTAGTATAATGTAGTTGTTGAAAGGTATATTAAAGCCTTCATTCATCACAATTAACATGGTGGTGTAAAGGTGAAAAAATGTCTAATTTCGCCCTGTGTAATTGTTGATGTTATACTATATACTGCAGTCACAACAGATGTTATCGAAGTTATTGTTGTATGGCGGTAGTCGCGCAAACTCGTAAGTCATCCATTTATTGCAGGCCTTATATAGCCTGTAACAAATATAATGGAAAAATTAATGACGTTAATTTCACTTTCTCGGTTCGTATATGAAGCATAAAATAAATTATTAGTGGAACAGAGAGCGAACATCAATTTATTTTAGTATATAAGTAATTCCTGCGTGTTTATTTCATTACACATGGACCAAATTTGGAATTAAAATTGAACATGAAGTCATTCTTAAAGTGCCACTAACCCGAATTAAAAATATTTTTGGTATGTATAATATTTGGCTCATTCCAAAAACAAATGTATATATAAAGATACGTTAAATTTCTTATTAGATATATTGCACCGATATACAAACATTTCTATTTGGGGTTAGTCATGCTTAAATTTAGAGATTTTTAACTCTTTCTCGGCAACGGTTATAATAATAACTGTTTTACACTTTATAAATAATAAAAAGAATAGAAATAGACTCATGTTCATATTGATTTGAAGTAAATTATTAAAAGATCTTCGTTACTTAAACATGCCATATCATTTGTTATTAATTTGTGAGACAGCTAGCACTTTTACGAAGAAGGCATTCACAGTGACTTACGAAACAATAATGTTTAGTATAGACACTTACGGTTAATTTATCCGGCATTGCATATAGCCATATATATCCGAGTTCTGAGAACAAGACTTTAGTTTGATTTACGACATTTCAGAGTCCATTCCATCGTGCATTCAAATGATCTATAGAGGTCGTGCGAGTGGCAGATTGTATCCATAAGACATGCATGTAGCCTAGTGTTAATTAAAACTTTTGATTGATGTAAAGTATACCGTCTTTAATTACAAAACACATTTTAAGAATGATACAGGCTTCCTTCGTATAGCTTTAAATTGTGCCTGTAGTGTGTATGAAATAAAAGATTAGAATTGTTCAAAACGTTCCAAGTAGAATTTTTGAAAGGAAAACGCCCAGTATGTTAACTAATTCGACAAAATTTCCTTTTGTTCTAAACTGTCTTGCAGGTGAAATAATCTTTCCTTCCAGCAAAGAAGAAATTGTCACAGCAATTATCACTGTTATCATCAATATCGTTACTGCTATTCTTGGAACACTGGCAAATGGTCTCGTCATAATAGCGTACTGTCGCAACCCTCGTCTACGAACAATTCAGAACACGATCTTTTTCCTACTTGCCATCATCGATGTCAACGTAACTGCTTTCGTGCAGCCGACATACGCGATCGCATTTCTGACTGGTTTGCTGGAAAAACACGATTGTCTGCTGTGGGATATCACTACTGTACTATCATGGTTGTTCCTTGGACTGTCATTGGTTACAGTTGTCATTCTTAATTTGCAAAATTATATAACCTTGGCTTATCCTTATCGTTTTCAAAGTCTAATCAATAAGTCATCTTTAGCTATAACCGTTGTCTTTTCTTGGGTTTTTATCGCGGCAGCAGCTCCCGCATCAGTTATGCTTAGGCATATATCTCTTGCAGGTTACATATGCGTTGGTATTATATCGTTGACCATATTATCCGTTATTCTTACCTGGATTTGGACATATAAACTTGTATCTCGCCATCGAAGGGTTATTCAAACTATTCAAACTCTTGCAACGCACAAAGTTAGTAAAAAAAGGAAGATCCTCAGATCAACAGTCACCGCTTTAATGGTAACCATAAGTCTATTTGGATGTTATTGTCTTGGTCTATTTTTTACTTCTTATTCACTGATAAGCTCTTGGAAAATGGACCGTAATATGTATTTGATTTTAGTGGCATTGTCGTGGACGTTAATGTATTTAAACTCTCTACTAAATCCCTGTCTTCTGTTTTGGCGTAGCAGCAATTTCAGGGTAACAGTGAGAAATAGTTTCACTTGAGGAAATGTTAACTTTCCACCCATTTACCATGCAGTTGACAGAAACAGAACCAACTCTGCACTAAGCGTTGTCCTTGTTGTTCATGCAGTTAGGACTTAGGCGCTAGCTACATTTTCAAGCCATGGTCTCAGATTTTACAAGAATACACGCCGGGTGTATAAAAAAACTGAACAGATTTGAAATTTCGCGCTCTCAATTTCGTGAAACAGCTATTAGTATTCAGTTTTTTTATATATATAGCTTCTTTGGGTACGTATAATGTAAAATAATGAAAAAAGTTTCTCGAACTCAAATTTTGTAAACCAGGGGTGTGTGCAACCTCGCAAGCCAGGGTCTTTTACTTCCGCACGGCGCTACAGCAAAGACCCTGGTTCCCTCTGGTCATGCACGTGAGCTCCTAAAAATTAGGGCAACAAGAGGTCCCAAGGGAGGGTGGTTGAAATGTGATGTTGTAATATACAACTTCCGGTTAAATGTTGTGTTTTCAAGGCCCGCCGAGGAGTGACTGTATTAAGACTATGAGAAGTGACTTCACTGTAATATGCAAAAACATTCAAAATGTATTATTTTTCTTATTTGTCTGCAGTTTTCTATTTTGTATGCAAACACTATTTTGAAACCCAAGCAGGTATTTGCTTGGAAAAGCTGTCCTTTGGCGTGTATATACTTGGCAATTTTTCCAACCGGTAATATGGCGAGTAGCTGATTTGCCAGCTTCTGCCTTTGATGCTTTTCGCTAAAAGAGCGTTAGAAGAACGTCCCACTCATGGCGTTTGTGTAAATGAGCAATGCTGCTCGTTACAGTAGATCGCGAACGCGCCTTTGATAAACAATCCAGCTCGAAAATTATGTGCGATAAAACTCAGAGTATCAGCAATAAATGTTTTTCAGCGGCCATTAAAATGTCGGACAACGAAGAGATTGATTACGATGTAGCTGAACTTGACCAAAAGACAAAACTAATTCTACATGTTACTTTTCAATCCATTATATTGTTATCTCAATTTTGTTCACTTTATTTTATGCCAAACGTAGTATATTGCGTGTTGATAACGTACCAGTCGTTATTGCACGACTTCATGCTACAGCATATAAACTTCACCGAAGGCAGTGAAGGCACATAAAAGAATCACTTGGCTTGCATAATTGCTTTGAGCTGGTTGCAAATTCTGACCGAAAGAATATCTTTTACGAAAAGGCATTCAGATAAGCACTGATATTGATGCCTTGGAGGACATTTGCAGACCAATTTATGCTGTAGTGTATGCAAAACACAATGTTTATGTGTTGAGTGTAGTTTCGATACGAAAAGGGAATGATTTTACCTGATTAGACATATATTATTGGGCCTGTGAAATATTCTTGAACCAAATGAATACACAATTAATCACAACTATTTGTTGAACTCAGTTTTTTTCAAAGTGGGCACAAATCAAGTTG